TTGACTCTTAAAAATCAATTGATTTGCCTGGCAGTGGTGGTGAACACCTTTAATCCCAGTACTCAGGAGGCAGATGAAGGCAGATCTCTGTGAGTTCGAAGGCCAGCCTGGTCTACAGACTGAGTTTCAGGACAGGCTCCAAAGCTATAGAAAAACTCTGTCTCGAAAAACTAAAAAGTAAAATAATCAATCAGTTCACTAATTACCCCTGTTTTATATGTATTTAGGCCATGTGTGTCCTTCTGTAACTTTTTGCCCATTTGTAAGACTTTAAGACAATTCTGAAGCTATTTCTGACAATTCTGAAACCTCTCAGCCTCCTTGCCATAATGCCTTCCCTCCTCCCCTGGGAACCAAGGACCTAACAGCTACACATGCATGTACTCAGTTCCTGAACAATTACCTATATATGTATGTTTTGATTCTGTCCCCTGGGAAATGGGGTCAGAATGACCTCTTATCTCATCTGATCTGGCAACAGCTCTCCAGCCAATTATTGGTAATAGCCCTTTTGGATAAGCCAATCACAACCCCCTTTGGTTCTGTGGCCCCTTTAAAAGTAGACTGTACCAGCTATTCGAGGTCTCTCAGCTTCCCGAATGCTGAGGGACCATGTCATGACAGAATTAATAAAATCCTCATGCATTTGCATCGGCTGTGGTATGTGAGGTGGTCTCTGGGGGCGACTCCTCCTCGGTGTTTGGACACTAGAGTCCAACACATTAGTTTAGTGTGTGTGTGTGTGTGTGTATTTGTGCATCTCCATGTGTGTTCACACATGCGTGTAAGTCCATGTGTGGGTAGAGGCCAGAGGTTTGTAAATGAAAACTCCTGAAAGGAAGCTGTGGCTGAACTAAAAGCTGCCAGTAGGAGTATCTGTGTTTGCTGAGACTGAGGGACCAATGGGAATTCAGTGCTGTGGAGGGAGTGGAATTCTGCAGGTTTAAAGGCTGATTATCTTAGGCTGGTGTTAGGCCTCTGGAAAAGCCATGTCTTGCCCCACTCTGTACCTGAACTAATACCTTGTGATAATAAATTTACAAAAGAACAAACCTCTTCAAAGCTACTAACTTAGCAGAACACAAGCTTCTGCTGAGCCAAGAGCCAAGAATGCGTCAGGCTTAGACCTATAGACTAGCTCCCGCATCTCAGCATACTGCCTCTCTGGGGCACCCACCAATGCATTGTAAACTCACCTTGATTCATGACTTTCTTTGCTCTGTAAAATCATACAAAAAACAAAAAAAACAAAACAAAACGTGAAAACTGCTTCCACATTGGGATGTGGAATTTGGGGTAGCCTAGATCTATGTTCCCAGGCCATGGTTATTCAAAATGGCTCCAGAAATAAACTGTGGTTTTTACAGGTTGATAGTGGCATCTTCCTTATTTACCCCAAACATAATCCTTTTTTCCCCTTCCCTTCTTTCATTTTTTTGTTTGTTTGTTTTTGTTTGAGATTGGGTCTCACAGAGCATGGAGCTCATTGATTCAACAGACTTGGTCAAGACGGGGCGGTGGTGGCACACACCTTTAATCTCAGCACTCAGGAGGCAGAGGCAGGTGGAGCTCTGTGAGTTCAAGGCTAGCCTGGTCTACAAGAGTTAGTTTCAGGACAGGCTCCAAAGCCACAGTGACACCTGTTTTGAAAAACAACAAAACAAAACAAAACACTTGGTCAGTGAGCTCCAGGGTCCTCCCGCTCTCCCTTCCCAGCTCTGGGACTTCAGGCATCTACCATCACACCCAGCCTTTTCTCGGGTGTTAAGGATCTGAATTCAGGACCTCATGTTTGTGGAGCAAACGGTTTTCTCACTGAGCCATCTCTCCAGCTCTATGCACTGTTTTGTTTTTGTCTGTGTTTCTTTTTTGAAACATGGTCTCACTATGTAAGCTGCTTAGTCTAAAACTCTCTTTACAGACCAGGCTGACTTCAAACTTACAGAGATCCACCTGCCTCTGCCTCCTGAGTGCTAGGATTAAAGGCATGTGTCACCACAGTCCTAAATTTTTTTTTTTTTTTGGTTTTTCGAGACAGGGTTTCTCCGTGGTTTTGGAGCCTGTCCTGGAACTAGCTCTTGTAGACCAGGCTGGTCTCGAACTCACAGAGATCCGCCTGCCTCTGCCTCCCGAGTGCTGGGATTAAAGGCGTGCGCCACCACCGCCCGGCTACCTAAATTATTTTTAAATAAAAATGATTGGGTTGGAGAGATAGCTCAGTGGTTAAGAACACTGACTGTTCTTCCAAAGGTCCTGGGTTCAATTCCCCCAGCACCCATATGGCAGCTCACAACTGTCTACAAATCCAAAATCGGACACACATGCAGGCAATACACATAAAATAAAAAATAATTTAAAAAAATAAAAATAAAAATGATTATGCTAGCCCCCTGTCAATTTTGACCAGCTAGGCAAGTGTGTCAAGGAGCTTGGTGACCCAGAGGAACGGTGACCTTGGTGGAGCAGCAGTCCCTTCCCTATGGCTGACTGGAACATCCACAACTGCTATGTATGGCCTTTTTCATTTCAAGTTTTTATTGAGAAAAATCTCATGCATGCTAAAGAAGGCCGTGTGGAATATGGGAGTGAGCGGGGCAGGGATAGTCTAGTTCAGGAGTTGTCAGCTTTCCTAACGCTGTGACCATTTGATATAGTTCCCGTATTAAAATTAGCTTTGTTACTACTTCATAACTGTAATTTTACTGCTGTTATGAATCATAATGTAAATATCTATTTTTTCTGATGGTCTTAGGTGACCCCTGTGAAAGGGTCATTTGGCCCCAAAGAGGTCTCAGCCCATAGATTGAGAACCTGGTTTAGTCTCTGGTTTAACAGACTCCACTTTCTCCTTCCTTGTCTCCTTTTGCTTCTTTAGCATTTTTTTTTTAATTTTTGAGACAGGGTTTCTCTGTAGCTTTTGATTCCTGTCCTGGAACTAGCTCTTGAAGACCAGGCTGGCCTCAAACTCACAGAGATCCGCCTGCCTCTGCCTCCCGAATGCTGGGATTAAAGGCATGCGCCACCACCGCCCAGCTCCTTTTGCTTCTTTAAACCCTTCTGCTGAGCCAGGCCTCCAGTTACCTTGGAGTGAGGAAAGACTGAAAACTCATTCTAGCATCCCCAAACCTAGCAGAGCATACACAATTAGTCATAAGGCTGCCCCGTGGGGCAAGAGTAGCCACATTACAGGAATTGATCCTTTCAAGCAATGATGGCACCAACTACTCTAGAACAAAGATAAGGGATAATCCTTAACTAAGAATATGCAATTATGCAAACTTCTCATTCCACTTTCCCCTCTACATTTGAGGTACCATATCACCCACCATATCAGTACCTCAAACATGAATTGGGGGGTGGGGGCTGAGAGATGACTCAGAGTTAAGAGCTTTGGCTGCTCATCCAGAGGTCCCGAGTTCAATTCCCAGCATCCACATGGGGGCTTACAACCATTTCTAATAGAATCTGATCCCTATTCTGTCATGCAAGCATTCATGCAAATAGAGCACTCATATACATAAAATATACTTAAAAAAAAAAAAGAACTTGGGCCAGGCAGTGGTGGCACACACCTTTAATCCCAGCACTTGGGAGGCAGAGGCACGCAGATCTCTGTGAGTTTGAGGCCAGACTGGTCTACAGAGTAAGTTCCAGGAGGATAGTCAGAACTACATAGAGAAAGACTGCCTCGTAAAACAAAGCAAAAACAACTTGGAAGTGTGCGGTCACAGGACTGACTGAAAAGTTTCTGCACCCGGATAAGCCGCTCTGCCAATGCAATAATCCAAATGAGACGGAACCAAACTGAGTTAGAAAAAGCCCAGATTTAATGGATGCAAACACTCCTGGACGACTTTCCAGCCTCCTCTCCCCCCAGAGGAGAAGGGGAAGAAAGACCGGAAAACCACGTGTTTGTTCTCTGGGTGGGGGAGGCGTTTAAATACCCCGCGAGAGTGATCTTGAGCATTTCTAGAGAGGAGTCGTTGTTTGGCGGACTTTCTCAGAGGTGGAGTCTGGACTGAGGCAGCTCCAGGGGACGGGACTTGGGAGGGAACTTCCACCCAAACATTCCAGACTCTTTGGGTATATGGATGCCAGGGTCTGGGGTGAGGACTTCTTTTCCTCTTCCCAAAGTCGCTACGCTGCTGATTAAGTCTCCATATTCTGACTCTCGCCACTACTTATCCCTTTGCCTTATGATACGTGCTATAGAGCCTAGTCGGGCTCACATAGTCTCTGTCCTAAAGCTGGTGACACAGCTCCGACTCGGTGGCTCTGTATCGCCCTATATCTCCCCTAATCAGAGTATTCTGGCCAGTTACTAACGTTTTCTCTTCCGTGTGGTACTGTGCTCAGAGCGGTGCCTGATCTTCATCCTGACGCTCAAGCCCTGTAAGTTCGAAGCCAGCTTGGTCTAGAGGGAGTTCCAGGGCAGACTCCAAAGCTACAGAGAAATCCTGTCTTGAAAAAGAATTAATTTTTAAAGGTAAAATAAACCTTTGGATTTCTGTTAGGTCCAGGCGTGTACAATGATGTGTATGTGTATGTTGGGGGTAGGGGGGAGAGACCAGACCACCAAAGAAGCAAGCTTTATTCCAGGAAAAGAAAAAAAATCACCATGGGAAACACAAAGCTTATGAGGTATTGCTGTGGCCACAGCCAGAGATGGGCTGTAGCTGTGGCAATGGGTGGATTCCAAACTTCCCTTTTTAGAGCAAGAAGCAAGAACTAGGCATGAATAAAAGAATTTTTACAATGTCAAAGGAAAACTCAGATACAAATTGCTTTTTTTAAAAATTTCCATTAACAGGGTTTTTCAGTTAAACTCGGGTTTGTATTTAGCCCATTGTTTCTCTCTGGCACTTTCCGATGGTGTTTCCCCAAGCTCTGCACTTTCCCTGCCTGACACAGCCAGTTGTGTGCGTAGCAGGGGAGGGGAGGGGACGATGAACAATCAAAAACTCTAGTACATCCCATCATTTAAAGGTTAACTCAGCTCACCTCAGTTGTTGGTCACGAGCAGCCAGGGGGTTATCTAAAAGCTGACTCTCAGTTTGCAGAGGGTCACTTCAGCCTTTCAGACGGAGCTATGGGTGATAAAGCAAAGTAACCCAGTGTTAATAGTTAATCTCTGAGAAAGCTGCTGACAGCCTGCTCTCCTTCTCCCAGGCTTACAACGTGGTGTTTTTCTATTTCTGCATTCCTATTTCTGGAACCTACATTTTATATTCTTGGGCTTTTCAATTTCCACAATTTCCTAGGATAGATATATATACCTCCCAGTAAAGTCAGGCTATTTTTCACGGAGAATAATAACTTAAAGGGTAGAACAAGAAGCTTCAATAGGGACACAAACAATGTGCATCCGTGTTGTTCCCCCTCCCCTCCCCCACGTCCTGTGTTGAGCTAGGAAGATCTAGACCAATGAGCAGTAGCTTGCTCCACCACTGTGTGCAGGGTCAGAGCAGATAACTGACCTTTTCTTGAGTTCCTTTGTGTTCATGTGGGTGTGCATAAAAGGTGTGCATGCAAGTGTGCGCACATGTGTTGGAGACCAGAGGGAGATATTATCTTCCTCTATTAATCTCTCCACCATATTTTTTAGACAAGATCTCTCCCTGAGCCGGGAATGTGCTGATTTGTCCAGACTGGTTGACCAGTGAGCTCCAGAGGACTCCTGCTGTCCCTGCCTCCCCACGCAGAGGACAGGAAGGCACCATCACACCCAACTGGTTACGGGGTCCTAGGATCTTGATTTCTGAGCCTCGTGTTTATGCATCAGACCCACAGATCCATCTCCCCAGCGCAGATAACTGGTATCTTTTCAGTTCATGGATTTTCATGTTGAGTAACCATTCTGAAGACACAATGTGATTTAGATTGTAAGCTCCTGCACCTTGATGGACACTGGTGTTGTGGGAAGCTCACCAGAAATGACCTCTCAGAGCAGTTTACAGCCAACTGAACGTCTTTCTTCCAGCCATCTGAGAATACACTCGGGCCCTCCTGGACCTAAGTGTAGCCCTGAGTGTCAGACTCTGCTTTTGAGGACAAAAACAGAGTCCTGGCGTCTGGGTCTACGACTGCAGGGGGCCTCTGGAGAAGCAAGCGGTGTAAGGGAACCTAAGATGAGCGGCTAGCTGGAGGGGCTTCTGCCCAAGCGGATAGTTTAACAGAAGTGAAGACGGCCAGGGCATCTTGACCTCGGGTTCCTAGAATAGAGTTTGGTAATTTTCCACTGGGTTCTCCATTACGGAGATCAAATTCTAGTTAAACCTGAAAAGGTCTCAGCAAGAATACAAGATGGAGGAACACTGGCTTTGCCTGCGACACTGGGATGAGATGGCTAAGATCCTGGGAAGTAACAAAATGTTTTGGCTGTTGTTTGTGGTTTTTTGTTTTATTTTTTTTGAGGCAGGGTTTTTCTATGTAACTCTGGCTGTCCTGGAACTCGCTCTGTAGACCAGGTTGGCTTGAACTCAGATAGATCTGCCTCCCGAGTGCTTGGACTAAAGGCGTGCGCCACCGTGCCTGGCTGATGAATGTGATTTTTACATCAGAAGGACTGAATAGTTGGAGACGACTAGAAGGCAGCCTGTGGTAGGCAGCCTCTCGACCACAAAAGCTGTGGACAGTTGCTAGAGACACCCCCCCCCCCAAACAACTGCCCCCACACATCACAGGTTCCCTCCCAGACCCCCGTCACGCACAAACCACAACCAAACACCTGTTTTCACAAAGAGATTTTTTTTTTCCCTTTGTTTTTTTGAGACAGGATTCTCTGTGTAGTTGTCCTGGAACTAGCTCTAGTAGACCAGGCTGGCCTTGAACTCAGAGATCTGCCTGCCTGTGCTTCCCAAGCGCTGGGATTAAAGACATCTAGCCTGAAAATCACCCCCCCCCACCGCCCGTGAGATTCTTTTTTAATGGGGGGGGGAGTTAAAGTGGCTGCTTTCAGACAGCAGCAAATGACCTTGCAGGTGTCATTTTTAGAGATAAAAAGGAGGGAGGTCTTTGTTAGGTGTGTATTCTGATTCGGCATATTAATTAGGTGAACCAAAGGGGGGGTTTTGATTGCTAGATTTTAATACTTTGATAACTGTACATTGGCAGTCAGCCTCTGGAGGAGGAAGTGGCCAAATAAGAGAATAGACCTTGGGGGCTAGCCTTAGGAATGTAACTTAACAGTTTTTAGCAAGGCAGTGGGACTGGGAGAGGAGAGCAAGGCCAGAGTCCCTTCAGTGGTAGTAAGACTCTGCTTTTTCCTTTTGGTTTTTCATGGCAGGGTTTCTCAATAGCTTTGGAGCCTGTCCTGAACTCACTCTGTAGACCAGGCTGGCCTCAGACTCACAGAGATCCACCTGTCTCTGCCTCTTAAGTGCTGGGATTAAAAGCATGAGCCACTACCGCCCAGCCGACTGTGTTTTGATAGCTGATCATGGATTAATAGAAAACTAATGTACCAGCCATTATTTCAATAAAAACAATGTCACAGTATGTGTCTCTAAAAGGCAAGGGTATAGCTTAGACTTTAGCTATCGCCAAGTCACCAGTGTGGCCCCAGTGGCAATTGATGGAACATTATGGAAGCAGGAGACCTATCAGGAGGTCTGTGAGTCCCTGAGAGCATGTCTTCAATGGGTTTATGGCACTTGGGCCCCTTACTTCTCCTTTCTGCTCTGCCAATGATTTAAGCGGTTATACTCTATCAGGTGCCTCCATAGTTATCTCAACATAGGCCCAAAGTGACAAAACCAGCTGGGTCAAGATCAGAACCTCCAAAACCATGAGCCAAATGAGCTTTTATAAATACATAATCTCAGATATGGTTATAGCATCAGGAACTTTTGCGTCCCACCAGCCAGCTCCCAAATAACCACATGGAAGACATTAATTATAAATGATTGACTGATAGCTTAGGCTTGTCTTCAGCCAGCTGTTACAACTTATCCCACTTCTATTAATCTGTGTGCTGCCCCAAGGCTTCTTTACCTCATCTATCAACTTCCCAGGATGCTTCTCCCAAGTCTGGCTTGAAACACTTGTGAATCACTGACTCCACCCTTTTTTTTCCCCAGCATTCTCTCTGCCCCCAAAATCCTGCCTAGCTACTGGCCAATCAGCTTTTTGTAACAATGAGAACAATGAGAGCAACACATCTTCACAGTGTACAAGAGGATTATTCCACAGCAAGGAATTTTATTTTTTTCTTTTAAAAATGTTGTATTAATTATTGTGTGGGGAGGTGTGTACATATGCGTGTGCATACGTTATCCTTTGTATAAGTGTAGGCATGCACACTACAGCATGCACTGAAGGTCAGAGGACAACTATTAGGAGCTGGTTTTCTCCTTCCTCTGTGGGTTCTGGGATTGGACTCAGAACAATAGCAAGTGCTTCTACCCACTGGGCCATCTCACTGACGCTAACTGAGATCGCTATGAACTCACGGGGATGTCTAAGGTCAAACATTCAGAAATCCAGTGTACTGTTCACACAGCTTCTTCCAGTATCCAGGGCTTACATAACTGTTTAACATCAAAGTCAAGATATAGATAAAATAGATCAATATTCTCATCAAATCTGGGAAGTTTGGGGCCCCAGAGTTCAAAGCCTAAATGGTTGGGAGAGGCAAGCAAAGTGACAACTTCGATACATGGTAAGTCTTACAGAGGCTTAAAGAATGAATGCGTTAGGGAATTCGTGAATGAGGAAATCTGGCAAAAGTCTAAAAATTGGTGCAAGAGAAGAGAGCCAAACTTATTTTTTTTTTTAAGAAATTGGCTCTAGCCAAGCAGTGGTGGCTCCTGCCTTTAATCCTAGCACGTGGAAGGTATGGGCAGGTGGATCTCTGTGAGTTTGAGGCCAGCCTGGTTTGCAGAGTGAGTTCTAGGACTGGCTTCAAAGCTACACAGAGAAACTCTGTCTTAAAAAAACAAAAAGAAAAAGAAAAGAAAAGAAATTGATTCCAGCAATAGTTAACCCATGCCTATGATAAAAAACAAACAAACAAAAAACATAAATTCATGAGTTCTTCCCTGATGACCTAATCACTTGTTTTTGAGACAGGGTCTCTCCTAGATTGGTCTTGAACTGGCTGTATAGCTAAACTCCTGCCCTTCCTGACTCAGTTTCCTAAAACTGTGATTGCAGGCCAGTATACCTGATGATTTCTTAAAGGGCCCACCCTCATCATCGTTACACTGGGGGTTAAATTTCCAACACATGAATCAGAGATATGAACAAACAGTACCAGGGTAGGTCTAGTTTTCCTCGGGGGCTCACTGGTGGAGTCTCTCAGAGCAGTTTAGCCACGAGGAAAGCAGCAGAGTTACCTGTCACATCTGGGAATGTAAAATGTCACTCATGGACACGTACTCTGTGATCTGTGAACAAAAGAGTAGAACACGGCTTATTTCACCTGGCAATCTCCATGGAAGGCACAGATGGATTTTTAAGTATTGAGAGCCCTCTGCTGTTGGTAGCTAGAAGTGCACAAAGAGCGTTTTGTGAGTTCAAGGCCAGCCTGATCTACAAGAGCTCATTCCAGGAGAGGCTCCAAAGCTATAGAGAAACCCTGTCTCAAAAAAAAAAAAAAAAAGAGAGAGAGAGAGAGAGAGAGAGAGAGAGAACCAACAAGTGTGTGTGTGTGTGTGTGTGTGTGTGTGTGTGTGTGTGTGTGTGTGATAATAGGGTATCACACAGATGCCCTGGAATTGGAAGTATAGGTGGTTGTGAGCTGACCAATAGGAGTGCCAGGAACTGAACTCTGGTCCTCTGGAAGAGCATCAAGTACTCTTAATTGCTGATCCATCTCCTCATTTCCCTCAATTTTCTTTTCTTTCTTTCTCCTTTTTCTTTTCTTTTTGTTTGATTGGAAGTGTGACCCCAGTCCTCCGACACCCCTGTATCCAAGGACTCTGGGATATTTGGTCAAAAGTGAGATCCCAGCCCTCTGACACCACTATATCCAAGGAGCCTGGGAAGTGTTCCCTCAGCCCTTGTCCTGGGAGTTGCCTTAGATCAGACTCTACCTCCAGAAAAGCCCACCAAGCGCTGCCCCCTCCCCAGGGAGGGTCAGGACCACACCCACAGACAATTTAGGCTGCCTCTGAAAAAAAAGAACACGTGGTCTTCGGGTTTTGCGTGAACCCCCCTTCTCTCTCCCCCCCTACACCCCGCCATGCTTTTCTGGCCACCAGGGAGCGCTGCAGTAAACATGGGCATTGATTGGGTCTAATCTGGCCTGATTGGAATTATTTGCGTCAGTGGAGAGGCTCATTTTAAGATTTTTCCATATACATATATATATGGAAACATATATATATATATATATGGAAACATATATATATATATATATATATATATATATATATATATATATATATGTTTTTTTTCGAGACAGGGTTTCTCTGTGTAACAGCCCTGGCTGTCCTGGAACTCACCTTTAAACCAGGCTGACCTCGAACTCACTGAGATCTGCCTGCTTCTGCCTCCCGAGTGCTGGAATTAAAGGCGTGCACCACCATCACCCAGGAGGCGTGTGGTTCTTTGTGAATTTAAGGCTAGTCTGGTCTGCATAACAAGAATATGCATTGAGACTCTATTTCAAAATTAATTCTTAATTTTTAAAATTCAAGCTTGCGTCTGGAGGGGTGGTTCAGTGGTTAAGAGCTCTTGTGTTCTTGCAGAGTGTGTGCGAGGGTTGTAGTAAAGAAACTGTCTGCATGGCTGCTCCATGACTGGGATGTTTTGATTATGAATAAGGGAGGGAGATTGTCCAGAGGCAACAGAAAGAGTTCAGCGCAGAGAGAAAAGAAAGATTGAACATTGCCAGGACTGAGAGAGTGAGAGAACAGGAGAGGATAGAGGAAATAGCAAGATAGCAATAGATGGGGAACAGTGCACAGTGAGAAAAAGGATAGGAAGAGAATAGTGAGGGGAGGATAAGAGGGTGGATAACAAGGGATAGAGAGAGGATGAGAGAAAAGCAAGAGTGGGAATAGAAATGGAGAGAGAACAGTGAACACATCATGTGGACTCTAAGGAGGATGGGAAGCTAGGGGAGGGAAGGGCAAGTTGGTCGGATGGTCTTTAAAATGTATAACAGGGGGCTGGAGAGGTGGCTCAGCAGTTAAGAGCATTGCCTGCTCTCCCAAAAGTCCTGAGTTCAATTCCCAGCAACCACATGGTGGCTCACAACCATCTGTAAATGAGGTCTGGTGCCCTCTTCTGGCCTTCAGGCATACACGCAGAAAGAATATTGTATACATAATAAATAAATAAATAAATAAATAAATAAATAAATAAATATTAAAATAAAATAAAATGTATAACAGAAACTGGTGATACTGAGGGAGCCTGGAGGCCAGCATGGGCTTTGATCACTGATTGGCACCACAGGTAGTCATGTGTTCCTTTTGCCAGGGAAAGCGGAGATTCTACTATGAAGGTCCTGGGTATCTAAATCAGTCCTTGGGTTTGACAACACACAAAATCATTTTGCCTGCCCATCTCAGTGTATATTTATGTTAAAAAATTATTGTTCTGAGGCCAAAACAAATCAAACATAAAATTTCCTTCTGGAATAAATGGCTGCTTCACTTTATTTTTTAAGTCAGTTACAGGTCAGATCAAGATCGGCTGGTTAATTTGGGAAAGATGCTGACACAAATATCCTTCAGGATCAACTTTCCAAGGTGAGAGAACCTTGAAACCATGGGGTGTTATAGTCAGGCCTGGAGGTGGGACAGGGTTAGGACAGCATTAGGAGAGATACAGACTCATAGTGTATAAACTGATGCCATGACCACTCTGTGGTATGGGTAAGGGGAAGGGTTCTGTTGTAGATATGATAGAGAGGACAGGCAGAGGTGTTTGGAAGAATCCAGAGCAGAGAGAGAAAGTAATAGATTGAACATGGCCAGAAGATTAAACCAGGCCATGAGAAAAGCAGGAGCATAGCTGCAAGGGTAGGGAGCATAGAGAGAAGAATGCAGGAGAGCAGAGGGAGGGGTAGGAGCGAGACAGAGAGAGGAAGACAAAGATAGGAGAAAGTCAGCCAAAGAGGGAGCATAGCCGAAATAGCAGGGTTATAAGGAGAATGAGTAGCTGGGGAGGGAAGCCCAGAACTGGGTTTAGGGTAGGGAGGAGGTGAGAAGAGCTAGGATGCCATCATGGACTCTGTAACCGTACTTGTGATACTGAGGGAGCCTGGAGGCCAGCAAGTACTTATATGCTAAGGGGCACCACAAATAACTATTTACTTCTTCTGCCAGTGATAAAGAAAATGGCTCCTTTTGATAGAGGGAAACCAACTTCACAAGTTCCTGAGGAATACTGGCTTTTGCCTAATCACCAGAATTTGGGGAAATTCTTTGGACCTGACACATACCAGAGATAGCATGTCCTGGCTTTGAAGGAAGAGGAAGAGAATATGAATTTCTGATCCTCCCTCCTCCATCTCCCAAGTGATAGAATTATAGGCATGCACCACTAGCCCTAATTTATGCACAGTTAGGGATCAAAGTCAGAGCTTCATGCTTCATGCCTATTATTCAAACACACTATCAACTGAGCTATAGCTCCAGTCCTTGACATACTCTTTTGGCAGCCTGTCCATTGTGTGTATACAAACACACACAAAAATACATACACACATATACCACACACGCACACATATACACATAGATATATATGTATATGTGAATAATATATTCAAGACAGGGTTTTACTGTGTAGCCCTGACTGTCCAAGAACTCACTCTGTAGACCAGGCTGGCTTGGAACTCATCAAGATCTGTTTGTATCTGACTTCCAAGGGCTGGGATTAAAGATGTGCACCACTATCACCCAGCCACTGCCAATATATATATATATTTTTTTGCTTTTGGAGACAGGGTTTCTCTGTGTATCTCTGGCTGTCCTGGAACTCACTCTGTAGACCAGGCTGGCCTTGAACTCACAAAGATCCACCTGCCTCTACCTCCCTGAGTGCTGGGATTAAAGGTGTGAAACCATCATTGCCTGGCACTAATATTTTTGAAGAGGAAGATTTGGTTCTGCCTCAACTGTTTTCACTTTCACCTTTCAGTGGTTAAAAAACATTGCTTTAAGCACTTCTGGGGTCACACTAACCTAGATTTTAAATCTCAACTGTGACATGGTGTGCTTGGTTTGAATGAGAATGGGCCCCATAGGCTCATATATTTTTGAATGCTTGCTCCTTATCTGATGGAATTCTCTGAGAAGGATTATGAGGTGTAGTCTTTTTGGAGGAGGTGTGTCACTGTGGATAGGCTTTTGTGTTTCAAAAACCCATCCCATTCCCAGCTGGCTCTCTCTCCCTCCCTCTCCCCCCTTCTCTGTCTCCAACTTTCAGATCAACATAAAAGCTCTTAGCTACTGGACCAGCGCCATACCTGTCTGCCTCCAGGCTCTATGCCATGACAGCCATGGGCTCGAACCCTTTGGAACTGTGAGTCCACAAAATAACTGTTTTAATTTGGATCACAGTTGAAAAGTTTCTGCACCCTGATAAGTATCTATGCCAACACAATAATCCAAGTCTGACCAAATTAAACCGAATTAGAAAAAGCCCAGGTATAATGAATACCATGCGCCTGGATGGTCTTCCAGCCCCCCAAAGAGGAGATGGGAAAGGAAGACCAGAAAACCACGTTTGTTTTCTCGGAGGGCAGTTTAAATACCCTGTGGGAGCAGTCTTGAGCATCTCTGGGGAGGGGTTCTCATTCGGTGAGCTTTCTCGGGGCGGGGTCTGGACTGAGGCAACTCCATCAGCAAAGATGGGTCATTTGATCAAATCAACATCAGAGGAACAGGAAACGATATCTCCATCCTGGGATGGGTTGCAATCACCTGGCAACCACTGATGATAAATAATCCTTAACAGGAAGAGCAGCTCACTAGCTGAGAGCTGCGGTACCACCGGCCACTCGGTGAGAACAGTGCATCCCGAAAGTGCTGTGAGAATTGAATAAACTCTGCTCAAGGATCCCAGAAACCTTTCTCCATTGCATAAGGGCTCTAAACGCAGAGAGCAACTATCTGCTTCTGCTGCTCTGGGCTGGACTAAACTGACTTGACAGGAAGAAAATGGTTTGTAATTACTCCTAATATTTAATGTGGAGTCTAGAAGCCCAGACTTTGGAGTGAGATGGACCCCCTTTTCAGGACACACAGTCTTAGACAGATTAACATCTCTGAGCCTTAGTTTCCTCAATGCCTGAATGCACACACTTGAGAATATATTGTAGACTTTTCATTAGGATATTAGCCTTGTTCTGTTCACCCAGTAGATACAGCATCTAGTAAATGGTTGAACACAGATTTTATTATTGAACAATGATTTCAGAGTCTGTGAACTGTAGGCAGAACATAAATATAGTACTATGGGAAGTACTCTGTCTTTTAGGTCTCAGCTCAAGTTATCTCTTCTTCAAATGACAGCCTGAGTTATTTTCCTGCCTCTGGTCATGTCTCCCTGTTTTTATTGATTTACAACCTTGGTGATGCTCTGAAATTATTGTTCAATCATTGGTTTAGCTAATATCCACCTCTGCCCCTTAAAAGCAAGCTCCATGGAATCAGAGGTCAGGTTTTCTATTTTAGATTATATTCTTAATGTGTGTGTGTGTGTTTGTCTCTTTCTACTATGTGGCTGGAACTTAGGCCTTTGTGAGTAACTATTTGTATACTGAAACATCCCACACGCCCAGGGTTCACGTTTTCTGTGTTCCCAACCTGTTTCAGAATCCTCATCTATGAAACTTTTGGATTCCAGAGGGAGGAGGAGTTTAGAGGCCTGGGCGGGCTCACCATTTGCTCACATCCCACCCACTTCAGTCCGGACCCGCCCCTGTCACTTACGTGGCCTGTGACGGGCCACGCCCCCTTCGTAGGCGTGACCCTCAATGTTGTGCCAGCCGCGTGCAGGCGGTGCTTACGTCACACGCACGGTGTTCGTGTGCGACGAACGGGAGAGGGGCGTGGCCAGGCGCTAGGGCCCCGCGGACGCCGTTGCCGCCGCCTGAATGGCCTGTTAGGCGGCCGGCGGCGCTGGGCTCTCCGCCGCTCAGGCAGCTGGGCGGCCACTCTGTTTTGAGGTCCTCGCCGCCCTTCCACGTCTCCCGGAAGAGGTAGCCTGCAGGTCCGGGAGCAGCCCGCTGCTGTGGCGGCCCGGGTGGGCGACCAGGCAGTGGCCTTGTCTCTCGGCTTCCTCAGGTGAGGCGCAACCAGGCCGCGGTCGGGACGGCTTGGCTTGTGGGACCCGGTCTCCGCCTTTCCCGAGTGCCGTCGTGCTCGTCTTCGCCCAGGGCCGAGGAAGGGGACGCCACAGTCCCGTAGGCTCCGGCCACCGAGGCTGACTGTCCTCCACCCCCCGCAAACTTGCTGTGGGGGCGCAGTGGGTCGTGTCATCGCCTGCCGGGCACCCAGGGTTGGTCAGACCGCCGGCCAGACAGCCGTGCCTGACCGCTGACCCCTGACCCTGCCTCTGTGTGACATCTGACCTTCCAGGTTGCTTTGCGCCACCGAAGTCCCTTCTTGGAGTCTGTCACCAGGACAAGAGTCCAGGCCCTAGCTCGGTGTCTATAATCCACGTGAAGGTCCCCGGTCGTGTTTTAAAGTCCCGTTAACTTTCAGATGGGAGGCAAGACGTTAATTGATACGTTGTCTTTAGGCTTTTTTTTTTAATTGGGAGAGTTAATTTTCTCTCTTTCATCACCAAATTTTACTTTACGTTTGTGTGGAGTTTTATAAGTCGGAATGCATGTCACGTTAACGTTTTTATTTGACTTCTCGTAAACTGAAATACACACCTAATGAGTTTTCTGAAGAATGTGTTTAAACAGTGAACTCCATGACGAGGTTAGATGTGGTGAGGAAGGGGTTAAACGGTGGGCTTGACACTGAATTGACCTAGATTTCAATATCTGAGGTGTCATCTAAGCTCTGGGACCTTGCTAAACTATATCCATGTTTGTTTTTTAGAGGATATTGCAATTTACCCCATACTGTAGCTGAGAAGGTTATCCGTGATGGTGTTTGCACAGCCCTTGGCAGATAAAGATGAATTGCCCCAGTAGTGTTTCTAGGAGTGCCTGTGTAGGCTAGACTCTGGGAATTCATTAGTGAGCCAAACAGGGATTGTGTCTAGCCACCCACTCCCCTTCCCCCAAGAGCGAGAGACAGATGTTTTAAAAGCAACAGCTATAATAACCAGAAGCACTGTAAGGCAAAAGAAGGGCGTGCACACGGAATTAAAAGGCTTAGCTTAGGTGATAAGGAAAGATAACTCCGATGCTAGTGAAGAAAGCATTAGAATTGACATTTCCAGGGCAAAGGAACGCTAACTACATTCATCAGTCATTGTTGACTTTGCAGTTTACTTTATACTACTATAGCATGAAGGCTAATTACTTCATTGCCTTGACCTATGTGGCACCTATAAGTGTCCAAATGTGTTGGATAGATAGTCATTTAAAAAAAATTGCACTCAGCTTAACATGCACATGGTAGGTACTAAGTATTTATATAGTTAAAAATTTACTTGAGACCCCTGTATTCATATATAAATCACTTTAACAGTCATAACTTTTGTAATCGTCAGAAGGGCTTTTCTCCCCAAGTTCAGCCCTTTGAAACAAATTTCAGAGAACTGTTTTATTTGGTTGTAGTGGAATTTTGCTAAGCATTTTCTTTGTTGTTTGAATCCTGCATGGATTTGTTAAGGCATCCATGAAAAAGTGTCCCAGGCTGGATAGATTAGACCATAAAAGTTGATCTTTCTAACTCTTCTAAGTCCGAGATGAAGGTGTTGGCAAGGCTGACTTTGTATATATATTTACTTATTAGTTGTGTGTGCACTTGGAATTGTGAGCCAGAGGACAGCTTTCTTGAGTCCTCTGTCTTGTTCCCCTATGGGTTCCAGGGACTGAATTCAGGTTGTCAAGATTCAGGGCAAGCACTTTTGCCAGCCCAGATGTCTTGCCCGAGGCTGATTTCTGAGGATTCATTTTTGGCTTACAGATGACTATCTTCTAGCTTGGTTTTACCTTCTCTCTCTTTATGACTGTTTGCGTATACATTTCTTCTAATACAGACATCAGTCTAAATGACACCTTTATAGACCTCACCTCCATAAAGTCACATTCTGAGGTCTCTAGGTTTGGAGTTAAGTATATGGACTTTTGGGGAACATAATGTAGTCTCTCACATATGTTTTTGCTATGTTAAGATTTGTCCTTCATTGAAATAATAAGGAAAATAGTAGTAGTTGTAATAATGATAGCAGAAGTTACTAGAGGGGGTTACTGTATGCCAAGCATCTCAAAAAGTATTTTCCCCTATTGTTTGATTATAAAGCCATTCTGAGCTAAGTATGGTGATGAGTCCCTGTAGCCCCAACTATAGATAGGAGTTCAGATAGGAAGACAGTTTGTTCACGGTAGCTTGGGCAGCACAGCACAAACCCACCACAGAACATTTACAAAAACATTCTGTAAGGAAGTGTACCTACTGTCCTATATTTTCAAGGTAAAGTTTCTCATCTTCTATTAGTAATTTGTTCAAAGTTGCCTGGCTAGTAACAGACAGGTTAGGATTTCAACCTGGAACTCTTTCCAGATGATAAACTGATCATATCTTGTCCTTTTTTTTTTTTTAACATGTTCATCAGTAGGATTATCCTGCTGCCATCATGTCTTGGTTTGCTGATCTTGCTGGAAGGGCAGAAGATCTTTTAAACAGAGTTGATCAAGGGGCTGCAACAGCTCTCAGAAAGGAGAATACCAGCAACATCTTTTATAGCAAAAATACTGACTATCCTGAACTTCACCAGCAAAACACAGATTCAACATACCAGACTGGACCTAAAGCTAACTATATTTCCTCAGCTGCTGATAACATCCGGCAACAAAAAGCCACCGTCATAGCTGGCACAGCAAACGTGAAAGCAGGAGCCAGGCCATCCGGAGAGGCCTCCCATCCCACTGAACATGCATCTGTCCCTAGGCCTTCGTCGCAGTTTGTTCGAAGGAAAAAGTCAGAGCCTGATGATGAGCTGCTGTTTGATTTTCTTAACAGCTCCCAGAAGGAGCCGACGGGGAGAGTGGAGATCAAGAAAGAGAAGGGCAAAGTGCCCGTCTTTCCAAGCTCTCAGTCCTCAAGCGTCGGTTCTGTGGACACAAGTGTAACCACCACCAAGCCCACTGAAGAGAATCCTGGGAGCCAAAGTCCTGGTAGTTAATCAGCCCTGTTTCTTTCAGAATCAAGCAGATTGGATGTGTCATCCTAAGTTAAAATGTTTGAATAATATTCTTTACCAACTATTGTAGGATCTGTCCTCACAGGTGTAAGAGAAGGATCTTTGCCAATGTGTGGTGTAAATAAGGGTGACAGCATTGTCTACATTAGTCAATACTGTGTTAGAGTAGGGATTGTGAATGTTGTCTGCTGACCTTTGCCATGCCCGTGACTGAACTCAAGCTTGCATACACTAGACAGCCTCTACCACCAGGCTGCATCCCCAGCAGTTTTACTTGTATTCTGTTTACACCATCCTGTTTCCTATCCTTTTTTATGTTAGATGTTACATCTTTTTTCCCCTATGAAGCATTTGTCTATGTTACTCTAAAAAATACTAACATACTTTTATCACCTTAAAATTTTAGTAGTTCTTGGCCAGGCACAGTATGTAAGCCTATTATCCTAGCTACTTGGGAGCCTGAGGCAGGAGGATAACAAGTTCAAAACCTTCCTGGGATACAGAATGAATTAAAGGCCAACCTGGAAAATTCTGTGAGATCCTGTCTAAAAATAAAAACTAATAATTAAGGTCTGTGTATAAAACTAAATAGTGCAGCACTTGCTTGGAATGCAGGAAGCCTTGGTGTTCGATCTTAGTACTACAAAATAGAAAAGTAGAATTAGCAATTCTTTAATATTGAGTCAATATTCTGATTTCCTGTTTGATCATATTTTTAAGAATTTGGAAGCGGGATTTAGTGGCACATGCATTTAATATTAGCACTTGGGAGGCAGAGGCATGTAGATCACTGAATTTGAGGCCAGCCCAAGTCTATTCCAGGACAGCCAGGACTACACAGGGAAACCCTATCTCAAAAAAGAAGAAAAAAAGGTGTCTTTAAGACTCCAAAGAAGAATTGAGTTTTTTTTTTTTTTACAGGGGCGAGATTTTGAGATCTTAATACCGTTTTTATCTTTAGGCTACCCTATAGTCTTTGTTTTGCAATTTATCTATTGAATAACATGTAGATTATTACAAATTATGTGTAAATGATAAATACACTCTAATTATGATTTTTCTTTTGACTTTGAGCTACTTAAAAAATTTCCCTTGGTTACAGGTATGAAATTTTCCTATTTTTTATAAATTTTAACTTGATAACTTTGAAATCATATAAAATAGCCTGTGAGTTTCAGTTAAGTCCAAGTGTGTGTGTGTGTGTATGTGTGCTTGTGTGTGCACACTGGCACATAGATGCACATATATCTAAATCCTTGCATTAAATTTGTAAATTATACTTTCAGATCTTTAACCCACTTTTTTTGGACCTACTGAAGAGCTGTCAATATTTTAAAATATTTATGTTTATTTTCTGAGGTGTGTGGGTGCACTTATGCACAGAAGCACATAGAGATCAAAGGACAGTTTGAAGGATTTGTTTCTCTCCTACATGCGTTCACTCCTTTGTAGGTCCTGGGGATTTAATTCAGATTGTCAGGCTTAGCAGCAAGAGCCTCTTCTTGTTGAGCCTGTAATCAGATATTTGGGGGAAATGTCTTTCTTTACTTATTTATTTGTTGGTATTTTGAGACAAGATCTAGAGTTTGTAATCATCCTGCCTCATCCTCTTAAGTTCCTCCTAAGTGCTGAGATTACTGGCATGTGCCATAAACTTGGATCTTATTTATGAATTAGTTTTGAGAGCTATTCTAGGCTAGGTTGGCCTTGATCTCATAGATTAGCCTCAATCTTTTTTATTTTGTGTGTGTGTGTGTGTGTGTGT